CAGTAACTTTTTTATTTAGAGAATTTTTTTAAATCTGAATACACTTCTTCACAGCAAGCTTTTTCGATGAATTTCATTGTATATTAATATTTTCATTGCGAATTATTCGGTTGCGAATAACCATCATTAACTTTATTTTTTCTTATGGGCGCCATATTGAACTCTAAGCTGAGCAAATAGAGCATTTTTTGGCTTTTCAATGATATAATATAAAGAAAAAAATTCAAATACAACCTCAAAAATAAATATTTTAATATTTCTAATAAATCTGGCAACAGCGCATAATTTTTTGAAACTATTATAGAATAGTCTCAAATTTTTATAAAAGCTTACCGTTAATGTCACAAAGAAAAGCCCCATTAGTAACTGGGCCAGGAAAATAAGCTGGGAAATTACCATTTTGCGACTTTTTGTCTCAGCAAGCTAAATTTATCATTTATAGATGCTAAATATTATGTACAATTAGTTTCCACGGCCATAAAAATGTGGGGAAGATTGTTTACAGGGTGGTTAATTGTATAATTTTTACGTAAATTCACGTTTTTCGCTTATAACCTTTTTTCGTTCATTTCCACGAGAAAACAGTAAAGTATTTTTTTTTCGCCTTCAAAAGACCTACAAAACTGGCCCTCGAGCGTCAAATATTGATTAGATCAAAAGTTATAAACAGAAGAAATTATTTATAACTTTTAAATTAAACATTTATAAACTGCATTGTTATTACCAGAATGTTTTGGCATCGCATCCTCTCATTCCTTATCACTATCTATTAACTCACACGAAATCTGGAATCGGTAAGTTGAATAGTTTAGCTATAGCCTTATAAACAAATTAACTAATTATTAGTCTGGACGATCCCGAGGATCTTCCACAATCGCACTGATTTTTTTCATAGTAGATTTCATAATAATGCATTGAAATATATCATTTTTTTTAATTTCAAATTTGTAAACGAATTTTTTTTATTTTTTAGCCTTAGTTGCAAAATGAAATATACGACGCACACTGAAAGAAATGGGCTTATTAAACTGTTTATCTAGAATAATGTGTATAGCGCATATTAAAACTTTTATAACCAATAAACAACTTTTATTTAAAAAAAAAACAATCATCTCCATACTCATTATTCAATGAGTTTAACTGAAAGGTGCTTAATACACCTTATGCATCTATGAAATAAAGGTTATAATGAATTACTTATACATTATTAGGTGTTATAGACTTTATGTTCCAATTGTAT